CAATATGATGTCACTTTGCCCAGAATCTGTGAGCGGCTTGATCTGAGAAAGTGCTTATGATTTGCAGGGATTTAAAAAGAGCACTGGGTGGATTTTTATGATTATTGGGTCTTTGTGTACACGCACTGCCAAGACACATTTAAGTTCAAACACCATGTAAAAGTGAATTTTGCATCCAATGTCCCCTTTAAGCTTGGCAAACAGTTTTGGAGAATTTGATGTTTCCCCATTCAAAGAGATAGGAGCTGCACTTGCATGACTTGCCTTAAAGGGACTTTGAGGTCAGAGTAAGTGCGCAGAGTAGTAGAATAATTAATTATTGATTACTAATTTGAATCAGTACATTATAACGAAAACAATACCTTAACAATGAAAAGAACCAGGCTTTTGTGATCGCATCATTTTAAATCGGTAAACTCATGGGGTCTCATTTATAAAACTCTCCATAGATTTCATCCTAAAAGTGTACATAGGCACAAAAGCTAGATTTTGCGTACAATCAAAAGTTTTCAGATTTATAAAATCATGCGTATGCCAGAACTTGCGCAAAAATCCCTTTATAAATCCCAGTCAGGGGAAGATTGTGCGTATGTGCATCTCCACCCCGACTCCTCCCCGAAATCACCATATATGGAGCTTACAAAGCCTAGTTTTACTATGCATAACCTCATCTGCATATAATTTATATGCATATTCCCATCCATGTGACACCATGTTTAACACCATCAGAGGTACAAGACATTAAGGAAATATGAGATACGGACTATAAATTCCATTTGTGCCATACACATTAATTTGGTTTGCTAAAAATCATCCTTGTTATGTTTTAGAATAAATATATCAAAATATCCATAAAAATCTGTTTAAAATAGTTCTCAGAAAAATAATTTAGAATAGAGTTGATCTCATTCATTTCCATTGGCCCAATAATATTTCAATTGTTTAAAAAATTCGAATTAAATTAAATTAATGCAGTTTTGCTGATAAGGTGAACATCTTTTAGCTATTTTTAGTGGGAAAAAATATAGGCCTATATTTATTGCAGTGTAAATACAATTATCTGGCACTGCGCATCATTGACAAATTATTTTAAAAAGGAAACATGCAAATCTTACCGTTTTCTTCAAGTTGTATCCTTCAAATACAGTGGTATTTTTCATAATGTTGTGGCGATGCCTTCACACGACATCAACACTTCCGTGCAGCTGTGGTCGTACATTAAGCGATTATCATTGGTCCTATTCAAACCAGACAATAGACCGTTCCACCAAATCCAGCAGTGTCTGCCACAATATCGAAGTAAGTGCGCATCATTGTTCTCGCTAAAAATATTTTCTCATAACATGAGATGTGCAGTTTACTTTAAAGATAAATTATTGTGCACCTATAGCACGCCTCGCTGTCATTAAAACATAGCATACCACAGGAAAAGTAATCAAGCGCATCCACTACAAATAGGCTGTCTAAATTCATATAATTTTGTTTTAACTTCTGCGTAATGACTTTATGTAATTTCAGTGTTTATCTCCATTAATGAGAGTGGAATATTTAATTTAAATGTATATGATTAAATGAAAACATCGTTGTTTACTTCATTACTTTTCTTTCTCCAGGAAAAAAAGTCCGTACACATGGGTCAGAGTTTGCGTGCAGGTGCGCAAATTTTCCCGTCAAGTTTGTTTCTTATAAATCCCACCTTTTGCATAGTAAGTGGCGTACGTGTGGATTTCTTCCTAAAAGTGTACATTCCCGTCAAGTTGTAATATTGCCGTTGTTTTATTTTCTACTACAATGAACTATCCCTTTAATTTAGATAGAGCATACTGCCCTTTTGAGACAATGGGACAGTTATAATTTCTACAGTGACACTGATAACAGGTTTGTGTGATTCTGCATCAAGACCACTAGGTGTCAGTGTGAATCTAAAATTACCTGCACATCAGACAGCAAAAAAATAAACAAAAAAATGTCTGGGTGCACCTTTAATATTTCTGTTCCGAATTTATTGATGGCACGAGTGGGCTACTTATTATATATCTATCTCTATAACATGTTTCAGAAAATGTTAAAATTCAACTCCAGATTCAGCTTGATTTTCATTGTGTTTTTGCACTTATTACCTTTATTTTACTTTATTTCACCCTTCTAAATCATAGTTTTGTCTCTCATATTATGCTTAAACTGTGTCAAATGACTGAACACTGTAAATGTCAACAGTTTATTGGCAGCTACCACTGGTTGTTAATGTCTACAGAAGCACAAAATTCCAAATCACATTGATCTACATTTTAACCATCACCTGTTTGGGTTATGTGACAAGGCATTTCATTCTTTTGGGACACTTGACTGTCCCAAAGTCAAAGTCAAGTGTCACTTGACTCTAAACTCTTGGACCTCGGCCTGAATTCTTCACTCTGCAACTGGATTCTAGATTTCCTCAGTGGTAGACCTCAAGTGGAGGTTGGAGGTGAACTGAAAGTAGGCCAGTTCACCTCCAACTCCATCACCCTGAACGTAGGCGCTCCACAGGGCTGTGTCCTGAGTCCCCTGCTCTACTCTCTCTACACACATGACTGCGTGTCTTCCCACAGCTCCACATCTATTATCAAATTTGCTGATGATACTGTGGTTCTGGGCCTCATTTCCAACAACAATGAGGCCGCATACTTGGATGAGGTAGAGAAACTCACATCATGGTGCCAGGATAATTGTCTTTCTATGAATGTGAGTAAAACTAAAAAGCTGATTGTGGACTTCAGGAAGAGACAGCAGCGGCCCTATACTCCTCTTAGATCAGTGGGACCCCAGTGGAGAGGGTGAGCAGCTTCAAGTACTTTGGTGTAAACATCTCCGAAGACCTGACTTGGACTTCACACATCCAAACTCAGGTTAATAAAGCCAGGCAAAGACTGTACCATCTGCAACAGCTGAGAAAATTCAGGGTTTCGCCAGCAATCCTGAAAACTTTCTATTCAGGGGCCATAGAAAGGGTATTGACTCAATGTATCTCAGTGTGGTATGGGAACAGCTCCAGTCAAGACTGCAAAGCCCTGCAGAGAGTTGTGCGCTTAGCTGAGCGCATCGCAGGGTCTGCTCTCCCCTCTATACAGGACATCTACCTCAAACACTGCAAAAGCAGAGTTGTTAAAATCATCAAGGACTCCAACCACCCTGGTAACTGTCTTTTCATTTTGCTGCCATTTGGTAAGCGCTTCCGTAGCCTGATGGCAAAAACTGGCCAAGTCTCTTAACACCACCATGACTTCACTTAATTATCAGTATGACACTTAATATACAGACATTGTCACTTGCACAAAGCAATTTCTGTAATATTTTATTTATTTACTTTTTTACCTCTATTGCTGCTATGTAACTACCCTGTTCAACCTGTTTGCACATTGTTCTCTTGTACATTCTCATCTAAATATTTATTAAGCCTACAGTATACTGTCCTGCGCATTTTATTTTATTCTTGTTTTTTATCTTACTTTTCCCATACCTATATTTATATATAATTTTCTTGTGTTTGTATTCTTTAATAATTGCACTGTCCATGGAGCAGACCTGACTTACATTTCGCTGCTGGTCATATATTCCCTATATAACCATGTATGTGACAAATAAAAATCTTGAAACTTGAATCTTGACTGATTTCTTCTTTTTTTCAGCAGTGCATTCTGTTACTGTACACAAACCAAGGATAGAGGGCAGTGTCTGTCAGCAAAAACATGCCCCATGTACACAAACAGAGAGAGTGAGTGAGATTTTGAGAATGAGAGAATGATAGATTTTAGGGTGCATTTGAGTACATTTTCATAAAAGTTAAACATGTCTGTTAGTTAAAACTCTCTCTATATCTCTGTAAATTTGTAATAAACAGTATTTGAGCAGGAATAACTGCAGAGGTAA